CGCCACACCAGTCACGTGATCTCGATGACGCAACAATATAATATAATATAACTGACACAAGGAAACTTGGGAGTTCTCCTGGAATTATCAATAAATTACTTAAATTTACTGATGATATTAAGGTCTTGGGTGTTGCTGGTTTTGAGGAGAAGGATGCTGCTTTACAAAAGGATTTAGATCACTTACTGAGTTGGGAAAATAAATGGCAAATGGGTTTTAATTATAATAAATGCAAGATAATGCATGTGGGTTACCATAATTTGAATTATAAGTATAATTTGGATTGGAATAACCCATCACGAAGGAAAGGGATCTTGGTGTAATAGCTGATAAGTCTCTGAAGCCATCTAAGCAGTGTGCTGTTGCTAGTGGTAGGGCAAATGGGATTTTAGGTTGTATCTACAGAAATATTGAATATAAGTCTAAAGAGTGTAATTTCAGGTCACATTTGAAGTATTGTGTTCAGTCTTGGGCTCCTTACCTTAGGAACGACATTGAATAATTGAGAAGGGTTCAGAGGAGGGCTACTAGAATGGGACCTGCGATGGAGGGGTTGTCATACGAGAAGAGGTTGAAAAAAGAAAAGTTAGAGGGGATCTGATTTAGCTGTTTAAGACTGTTAAGGGAATTGATAGTGTTGATGCATCATCTTTTTTCATACTTAATAGTGAGAATGGTAGGACTAGGGGTCACAAATATACATTTTGGCAGGGTAAGAATAATCTTCAGCTAAGATAGTTTTATTTTTCTAATAGAATGTTTGGCCTTTGGAGTAGGTTGCCTTCGGATGTTGTGGAGGTAGTAAACTTAAGTGAGTTTAATAGAAAGCTTGGTATCTATATGAATTAGTTTAGTTTAGAGGATGGGACAGCCTAGATGGACCAATAGGTCTCTTGTTGTCCCTAAACACTATGTTATGTTATATGCGTAGCTAAGGCAAACTACATCTGTGGCAACATATGAGGAAAGGTTGTTATATGTCGTAGATTCTACGGCACAACGTACACATGTGGATATCATGCCCTTGGCCCTACAGCATAACGCTCTGAAAGAGTTAATTTTAAACATATTTTCATTAAAACGAAGTATTCAAAATGTAAATTACAGCCTCGGAGTGATACCACGTGTTTAGTGTTTTATTATTTAAAAAATCATTGATTTATACACGTGGTAAACTTTTGATAATGTCGCACAAGCGGCTTTGTGTCATTAAATTGTTACCGTTTGGCACTTTGTTCAACGTCCCCCAGCGGCACAGCGGTATGTCTGCGGACTTACAACACTAGAATCCGGGTTTCGATACCCGAGGTGGGCAAAGCTCAGATAGCCCATTGTGTAGCTTTGTGCTTAAATACAAAACAAACAAACAAACTTTGTACAACATTGAAACTTTAGCGCGCGCGCTCGATAATAGCATAAAACTTAGTATACTCCATTGATTTCAATAAATAACTTAGAAGTTCCACTTATATAAAGTATTATGAAAGAAAATTCATCGTGTATTACATCATTCCTTATTTTATCTTCAAATGGATAATGTGAAAACAGCCTCTTTAGGTATAACTATTTTGAAAAAATAGCTTCTTAAATAACGAACTTGAGATTTATTCTCAATGTATTATTACTTGTTTTTGGATAGATTATTGGGTATTACTACTATAATATATGCAATATTGAATTATTATTTAGTTTATCAATTTCCCAAGTTATTTTATAAAGTTATAATATCATTGGTTGATGTAATGCTTACAATATTTGTACGCTCCTTAATTTTAGGTTTCCAATTTTACCATAACTGTCATTGTATGTTTATCGAGTAATTGGTGCCAACTTCAAGAAGTTAAAACATAGCAGCGGTGGTTCGGCTGAATAAAAAAAAATTACATGTTGGCAGTAACAGTGGTGAACAGAGGATAGTGACAGCAGACGTATTACCATCCGCTTTATTTGTTTGTAGTTAATCACAAAGCTTCACAATGGGCTATCTGTGCTCTGCCCACAACGGGTATCGAAACCCATTTTCTAGCGTTGTAAGTCCGCAAACATACCACTGTGCCACTGGGGGCTCCATCCATTTAAGTCAAAATAGTATATAGTAGAACGCATCAAAGTGAAAAAATGTACCGTATTTTTCGGTGTATAAGACGCACTTTTTTACCCCAAAATTTGATGTCAAAATCTGCTTGCGTCCTATACACCGAAGGTATGAATAATATATATGTATATATACGATATACACAATCCATGTGTAAATATATTTAAATAGGCATGCATAGTTTAGTTCAATTGAATATGTTATTTATAACAATATTAGTCTTTTTCTTTTAAAAACATAACAATTTATAATGCTCCCTATATAATAAAAAAATAAATTACAGTGAAAGCAATGAAGATTTTGTAGGTTTTGAACCAAACTAAATAACAGTAAACCTTTTTTTGATTTACGGTATTTTCTTATTTTGATGTTTTAAGCTCTTTTGTGTTTAAAACAATACATACACATTTTTAGAGTATCAAATTGAATTTTTGTTCAATAAAAATCTTTCAAATGCGACTGTAGCTTTTTCCCCAAAAAACTTTGTCTTCAAAATAAGGGTGCGTCTTATATTCCGAAAAATACGGTAAGTAGGAATAGATCAGTGGCGCAACTACAAAAGATGAGCACCCCCGCATTAACAATAATTGGGCTTCCTACATTTATTTTCTTTTAATTGTAGTTTAGTTATGATTGTGTCTGATTGATATCATTAACTTAGCAGAATAGTGCAACCCCCTTTTAGTTCAAACAAATTAAATTGTATATGTCTCTCTCCTTCTCGGCGATTCTTAAGTTTGTCAGGCCCTTTGGGCCCCCTTTCGCCCCAACCCGCGCAAATGCGGTGGCATACTTACATACTGAGTAAGATATACTTTAAACCTTTTTGTCGTGTTGATTAAATAACTGTAGGTGTGTAAGCCTAGCTTGCTGAGCCTTTACTACTGCTGGTAATGTTTGTTTATATAATTTTTATTTTTTACCAGATAATCTTCAAATTTTTATATAATTAATAAGTGCTGTATAGGCATTTTAACCTAAGCTACTCCAAACTTATAAACTGAATTTTCGTTTCATGGTGGATTATCAGTTTTTATTTGCATAACAGGCCTGACACATCGACTCAAAGTCTGAACTGTGTAGCAGAACTCAGGTTTTGTACAGTAATTTTGGAAATGTAATATTTTTGTTACAACATATTAAATCGGTGTATGGAAGCAAAGTACGCATAAAACACAAGTTAAACGCCGTTATAACATTACAAACATTCACAGGTTTATTTAGCCAAATGAACCGTCGTTGGCTCAAAAAAGATGAAACCAGGGTAGTCAGGAAAAACAATAACTTTAAAACCATGAATGGGTTTGTTTGTTTGTTTGTAATTAAGCACAAAGCTACACAATGGGCTATCTGTGCTCTGTCCACCACGGATATCGAAACCCGGAATCTAACGTTGTAAGTCCGCAGACATACTGATGTACTAAAACCATGGAATAATTACTCGAAATCCTTATAAAAAATATATAACTTAGACTGTATGAAACATTTTTTTTTTTGTGAAACAAAGACAATTTTCACGAATCACAATTGATTATTTGAAATTGAGAAAAGGTTTGTTTGTTTATTTGTAGTTAAGCACAAAGCTACATAATGGGCTATATGTGCTCTGCCCACCACGGGTATCGAAACCCAGTTTCTAGCGATGTAAGTCTGCAGACATTCCGCTGTGCCACTGGAGGGCGTATGTGTGAGACTAATATATTGTAACCAATAAAGGCATGGACCCCACAAGAAGTTTGATGCACAAATAACTGGGATAAAGTGCGTTTTAAAAAAGTCTATGGGTAGTGGATGGTTTTATTGTGTTTACTCTTGAAACTACTGCCACAAAAATGATATACACCATCTCAGTAGTTTTATGTTGTTGTTATTTTATGTTGAGCATAGTTAACGAATTTCACTACTGCAACTAATTTAACTTCTAGAAGTGATTTTTTTTCTCGAAGACTGTG